TTATCACTGGTTATGTTAACCTTCATCACCTGGCCAATGTTGGCCAGGTTTCTCAACTATAAAGTTTCTGGTGCATGTGCTGCATCCCGTGCTGCACAAGGGTTCACAGACCTAAGAGAGGATGGTGGGGGATAAAGAAAGACACAAACAGAGAAAGATGAGTCAGTTGGTCTGGGAGGGTGAGGATGTCAGTCTCTCTGGCCCTGACCTGTCTTAGTGTACTTTATTTTATATGTTCACAAAGCACATAGCTGAGGAAGGGTACAGTTATTTAGAACAGCCCATGGTTATTATTCTCATACTTCAGTTAAGAAACATTCTTGTAACAAGGTCAGTGAAAGCTGGTTATCTCTCTATGCCTGTCTGCTCTACCCCAATATATACACATCCTTATATTATGGTTTCACTTCTCTGGAGTTCACCCAAAGTTCACAGCAGCCTTGCTCCTGATCACCCCAGAGCGGGTGGGCTACTCTGGCTCTCTACAAAAGTTACTTTGTTTTTCCCCTTCCCATACTTCATTCTTTGGAAGCAAGTCCCTAGATCCAGCCCATGCTTAATGGAGAGATGGGTAATTAAACTCCACATTTTGGTTAATGGTAGCTTTGAGCCCCTGGATCTACCTATACCTGAAGCCAAGTACTTCCAGACTTCTCAGTTACATGGGTCAGTATGTTCTTTTATTTTAATGAGTTTTTGTACCTGCAAATGAAAGACTCCTAACTCTTCTTTCCTTCCAGTCCATCTTCGATGCTGAAGCCACATTATTTTTTAAGAGAATATATGACAAGTTCTTGGAACTACCCCTAGGTCATAGCCTATTTGTACAGTCTGCGTGATGAACATCCTTTGAGCTCTCTAACTGATATAGCCCTGAGGCTTCAACCCCATCTGTCTCTCTGGGATAATATATTCTGCTGACCCAACCCTGTCAGGAAAGTAGTCTATTTAGACTTGCTGTTCTACCACACTTGAAGAGCTTAAACACCCATAAGTATTTATAGACATGATCTCTATCAAGGGAGAAAAAGGGACACTTTGTCAATCTCAGTGACCCAAATTTGAGGTTAATGATTTTGCTGGGCCGTTAAGTTCAATCTTGCAAGTCTGTGCATTTCACTGTAATGAGAGGAGTCCTGAAATACTGGAACATCCAGTTCCTTGATTCATCCATCCATCCATCCATTCATTCAGTGAATATTCCCTGAGTTTCTGTTGTGTCAGGGAGTATGCCAGGCTCAGGGAAAGCAACAGTGAAAAAAACAAAGTTGCCACCCTCATGGATCTCATTGCTAGAGGGTAAACAGATGATACAGAAGTAAACAAGGAAATAAACTGGACAGTTTCAGGTAATAAATACCACGAGGAAAACAGCAGAGAAGTGATGAGGGAGGCGAGAAGACAGTTTTACACGGGATTTCAAGGGAAGATGTCTCTAAAAAGCAAAAGGAGAAAGGAACCAATTATGACAAACACCAGGGGAAGGTCTTTCCAAGCATATGGAATGGCAGTGCAAAAGCCAGAAGGCAAGAAAGAGCTTGGTGTGCTCAGGATATAAGCAAGAAGCCAGTGAGGGAACACAGTAAGTAGAGAGAAGAGAAGTGAAAGATTATGGTGAAGACATAAGCAAGGGTCAGATCATGTAGGACCTTTGTAGCCATGGAAACGAGTAGTTGCAAGAAAAGGAGTGACTTGATCCAATTTATGTTTCTTAAAGACCTCTCTGGCTGCTCAGTAGAAAATGAATTGTGAGGTGTCAGAATGAAAACAAGGAAGACCAGCTAGCTGTCTCTGCAGTCCAGGCAAGAGATGATAGGGACTAGATCCATGGTGGTAGTTATAGACTAGAAAAGAAGTAGGCAGATTTTAGATTCATTTTGGATAAAAGAGCTCCATTCTCACATTGCTATAAAGAACTACCTGGGACTGGGTAATTTATAAAGAAAAGAGATTTAATTGACTCACAGTTTTGCATGGCTGGGGATGTCTCAGGAAACTTACACTCATGGCAGAAGGGCAAAGGGGAAGCAAGCACATCTTCATGTTGGTGGCAGGAGAGAGAGAATGAAGGGAGAAGTATTGCACACTTTCCAACAACCAGATCTCATGAGAACTGTATCAAGAGACAGCACTAGGGGGATAGTGTTAAACCATTAGAAACCACTCCTATGACTGAGTCACCTCCCACAAGGTTCCACCTCCAACACCTGGGATCACAATTCAACATAAGATTTGGGTGGGGACACAGAACCAAACCATATCAGACTTGTTGGTAAATTAGAAGTGAAGAAAGAATTAAGACTGAGTCAGGTTTTGGCTTTGATGATGGCACCATTACCTGCATTGAATGGACTAGGGGGTGCAGAGCTTCATTTTGGGTATATCCATGACATCTGTAAGCGAATAAGGAAGCCAGGGCATCTGCTGCAAGGTAGGGGTCAGGGGAGGAAGAGATGAAAGAGACAAAAATATATGAAATAATAATCTCAGAGAGTAGAAAAGCAAATGTAACCAGATGAATGTGTTAAGGTTTCTGGGGAGCATTATATGTCCATTTGAAATTTGTGACCATGACGTGAAAGTGAAGCAAGGCTTCACCAGCAAGTCTTCACACACCAGAAAATACAGATGTGTGATTTTGTGCTGTAATATTCAATTGCATGGGTATAGACCAATGGTTTGGTCCAATCTGTAATGAGTTTTTTCTAGATGAAAAAATAAAGACTGAAGGACACTTGGAATACTATGATGATAGTAATGAGATATGAAATCTACACTGGATAAGAAAGAATAGAAGGACATTGCACAGGATAGATGAAACCTAATTAAATCAACAGACTACAGCTTCTCTGCCCAATATGGTAGCTGCTAGCTACATTGAACACTTGACATGTGTCTGGTCTGGACTGAGATGTGCTGGAAGTATAAAGTACATGGATTTCAAAGACATAGTATAAAAGAAGTAAAATATAGAGTATCTTGTGCATAATTTAATATTGATTGTTGACAATATTTTGGATCTATTAGGTTAAAAAATTATTAATTTTAACTGCTTATTTTACATTTCTTAATGCGCCTACTAGAAAATTTTAAATGACATGTGTGGCTTGCATTATATTATTGGAAAAGGCTAAACTAAAGGTCTTACTGGGCTGAGGGAATGTTTAGGGTGAAGAGAGAAGGAGAGAGTGGTCAGAGAGTGGAAAACTAGAAATCCAGATTTCAGAGGTTGTACAGTCACCACTAATGGTGAGGTCCAGGATGTGGCTACGGAAAAAGTGGGCTGGTGGGGGAAAGATTATGGCTGGGTGGGAAGGCCTGAGGATGGAGACATCAAAGAGTTACATGAGTTATCTGTGTAAATGTTGAAATCATCAAGAATGATGAGCAAAGTGAAGTGGGAAGAAAGATAGTGAGGAGGTAGGCATCAGAGTCTTTAACAATTGAGGCGATAATGGATGACCACTTTAGGGAGGAGCAGCTTATGCCAAGAACCACTCTGAGGAGGAGCAGCTGATGCTACAGCCGTTCTGTCCAATATGGCAGCCATTGGACCACTTTGAGGAGGATCAGCTGATACTATAGCTATTCTGTCCAATATGGCAGCCAGTGGCCATTGAGCACTTGAGATGCAGCTGGTCTGAATTGAGATGAAACTCAGGACTTCACTTGAAAGGGTCTAGGATTTTATTTTTTAGGTAAAATGGGAAGAAATGTCTTGAAAGTGGCAAAGGGGATGCCTGAGGTACACGAGATGAGGAGAAAAGCAACCTACACTTGGGAAGGCTGACCTTAAGCCAGTAAGAAGGACAGAAGACTACTAGGTTTAAGCTAAGACAAGCAATGAAAGAAAATTTTTGGAGAAGACATTAGGAATGTAAGGATGTTTCCTGGTTACACATTGTGAATTCCAGTGGTGATGGAGGAAATAACTGGGGAGGGAAGAGAGGGGAGGCAAGAGGAGTGAGACAATCAGAGATATAGACAGCACCATGGGTCTAAGGTTCTGAGTGATGACAGAGGCCCTAGGAGACTTCCATCCATGTGGCATGAGGCCATTGGTCCTGATGTTCTCCCAGAAGCAGGTGGGTAATCAGCTGAAGCCATAGCCCTGAATATTTAGGGTGATGGTTCAGAAGTAAAGTGACAGTCTCCAGGCATCTGCCATTCTCATTGATTCTGAGGGATGTTTTAAAGCAACAGTAATTAGTAATGATAAAGAAAGAATAATTATTGTAATGAGAAGTACCAGGAATAATTAGAACTTGCAAAGATGTTGCTGTTGTGGAGAAGAGTTAGAAAAGGCTTCTCGTTAAACTAGATCAATGAGGAAGGATATTGGAAACAATGAGTGAGAATGTCTGTGAATGCATGTCAGAAAAATGCTGCCTGATGGAGAATCTAAGAATGCTTACCCAGAAAAATTTGCTTATGTAGAGCTTTATTTCCTTTTTGGTACTATTTTAGTGATATGTGTAGATTAGTTTATGCACGGAAAAGAATCTGTAGGAATCTACCCTAGTTAACTAGCTAACCGAGGCCACCAATAGGAATTAAGTTAAAAGGGGATGGTCACTCTTGTCACTTTGTATTTGTGATGTTAACATTTTTATAACAAATTCACATTACTTTTGTAAACAGAAAATATACACCTGTAAATTTTGAAACTATACATTTTTGAATCAGCAAATATATATATACTGTATAAAACTTGAGATTATATGTAAATGTAAAACCTTTCAAAATAATTTGAAATTTGTGATAAATATAGGGGTGGCAAACGTTTTCTGTAAAGGCTCAGACAGTAAATATTTTAGGTTTTAAAGGCCACACAGTCTCCATTGAAACTATTCAACCCTGCCACTGTGGTGTGAAAACAGCCATAAAAAAATGATTAAATATGTATTATTACAGATGTACATAAATTATTTGTGTATATATATATATATATAAGTATAGAATTATATATATGTTATGTAAATTAATGAGCATGGCCGTGTTCTGATAAAAGTTTTTTGTTTTTTACAGAAAGAGGCAGTGAGCCCAGATTTGGCCCATAAGCCATAGTTTGCCAACCACTGAAATAATTTAATAAACACATAGAATGAACTAGTAACCAAATGAAGGGAAGTAAAAAGACAAAAAGCCTAGGCATTTTTCATGTATGCTGGGTAAGAGTCGTTTAATAGAATTCCAAGTCCAATTTGCAACATAAGTTAAAATTTCTAAAGAGAAAAAAGTAAAAAGCAAGGTAGAGGCAATGAAACAATTATTTTGCACATCTAGACTGACAGATCCTACTGACATTACCCACAAACTTACCTTGGAGCTACTTTGAGGCCAAGGCAAAGAGGGAAACATGAAAGCTTTCAAAACTGCCATGAGAAGATGAAAGGAAACTCCCCAGTTCAGCAGAAAAAAAAGGCTTTTATAATTTTTTGAGCTTCAAGAGAATATTGTTTTCCTTTGGGTCTTTATTTAGGGTAGAGTGACAAACTCATCTCCCTTTTCCTGGGACAGTCTCTTATCCTGGGAAACTGCTCCGTCTCATGTTTGGGTTTTGTTTGTCTGTTTGTTATTGTTGCTGTTGCTTGAGACAGGGTCTCTCTCTGTTGCCCAGGCTGGAGTGTAGTGGCACAATCTTGGCCCACTGCAACTCACTGCCTTCTGGTCTCAAGTGATTCTCCTACCTCAGCCTCCCAAGTAGCTGGGACTACAGGCACATGCCACCATGCTTAGCTAGTTTTTAAATTTTCTGTAGAGAGGAGATCTCACTATATTTCCCAGGCTGGTTTCAAACTCCTGGGCTCAAGCGCTCCTCCTGCCTTGACCTCCCAAAGTGTTGGGATTACAAGTGTGAGCCACCATGCCTGGCTCCATCTCAGCTTTAAAACTGTAAATCCTACATCCTAAGAACTCCCTCAGTCCTGAGAAAATTGGTATGGTTGGCCAACCTAACTAATTAAGGGTCATTGAGCAAGGCAAAGGATGAGTTCTTTAATAATAGTGATTACAAAATGTACAAAGTTCTTTTACATATGTCCATTTCTTACACTAACAAAAAACAATGGCCAACACATCATGGGTTCAACCCGCAAATATTTATAGAGTGCCTACACAGTGCCTTTGGGTCTACAGGTACCTGTAGATATTTTTTTTTCTGTCCAGAGTCGGATAGTAAGTGCTAGGAAGTGGAATAGAAGCCTGTACAGTTGCCTGAGTCGATAAGACCACCTGAAGGATGATGAAGAAAAAATACTGGATTCAGGAGAAACAATCAATTAAATTGAACTCTGAGCCTCTAACATGCACAGCAGAAAGGGCAATGGGATTGTTGTCATCATCACAGTGGAAGGGGGAACTCTCAAGGAGCAGACACGAGATTCCCTCTGCTGAAATCTAAAAGATGTCTCTGAAGAACTTCTGACTTGGGAGCCCTGAGATGCAGAGGCCACCTTCATGCTCAGAATTTTTCTTGGTTCAAGCTGGGGCTGGAACATCCAAAACAAAATTGCACAAGGGCAATCTGGAAAGCCACAAACGACCACGGGCCATAAACAACTTCACATCCATCACCCCTTACATTACATTTTTTAGAGGTCCTTACATTTTTAAAAATTACTTACATTTTAAATTACTCAGCTTTTTAAAATCCGAGATGTTTCAGAAGGTAATCTGAATTTTGTTAAAAGCCAGTTGATCTGACAGTTTGTCCCCCATGGCATAATCAGCTGGACTAAGTACTGGCGGTCCCCTTAGAGAGGTATCCACACTCCTGTTCAGTTCCTGATTAATCCCTGAGACTGAGGTCCTGGGCCACTATTTGCCATTTGCCAACACACTTGCCAGGTTCTTTTCTTTACACACAGCCTGTTTCACATATTTGTATTACATTCCAGCCCTAGTAAGCATGTTACTCAGGTTAGTAACCTCTAGGCTGAGCGAATGAGCTAAGACAGGGCATTTCCTGGTAATCCATGGGACCTGAGGAGAACCCAGGATTCTTGGAGGACTTGGCGCTCTGTCGACCAGATTATAATGGTTAAGCCATTATAGAGCTTAAAGCTCTAACTTTGCCTGGGAGATGGTGAGTTTCCCATTCCCCACAGAAGCTGTCCTTCAACCTAAGTCAAGCGCTGCTCACTTTCTCCTTTCTGATATTCTTGCCTCAGTTTTCCTCCCACAGAACCCTCTGCTTCTGCTTGGGAAACACTCATTACCCTTAATATGGGCTACCCCACCAGACTGTCAGCTCTGTGAGGGCGTGGACTATCTCCGTTCTGTTCCCTGTGAGATCCTGAGCAATTGGTAAGAGAAGTTCTTCATAAACATGGCTGGATGAGTAAATAAAATGTCTGTCCTTCATCCAAGACTAATTCATCTTCCTGGCTCTTAATCCTACCCCCGCCAAGCACCCTTGAACACCTTGTCACAGTGAGGTTCTTCTCCTGAATCCAGCATCAAGAGATCACCTTCCCTTCCCATTGAGGAAAAGGTGAAGGTTAAACATTCTAAGATAAAAGGGGCTGTGAATGTGGTAGGCAGAATTCCAACAGGACCCACAAGGTTTCCTACCCTAATCCCCAGAACTGTGGACATTATGCAATATCACACCTGGGATCATGTTACTTTACCCAGCAAAAAGAATTTTGCAATTGTAATTAAGGTCACTTATCAGTTGACTTTGAGTAAATCCAAAGGAAGGTTATTCATGGGCCTGATATGATCACATCAGACCTTTCAGAGCTGACAGTTTTCTCAAGCCGGCAGCAGAAGGGTAAGTCAGAGAGATTCAAAGGATGAGAAAAATTAAAGGTCCCAAGGCTTGGTATTTTGAGGAGGGCATGTGTAAGGACCAGGGAATGCCATCTATGAGATAAGGGTGACTCCAGCCCACAGCCAGCAAGGAAACTGGGACCTCAGCCCTATAGTCACAAGTTACTGAATTTTCTGCCAATAATAAGAATGAGCTTGGCTAGGCATGTTGGTTCACACTATAATCCCATCTACTCAGGAAGCTGGGACAGGAGGATTGCTTGACTCCAGGAATTCCTGACCAGCCTGGGCAACATAGTAAGACCCCATCTTCACAAAAAATTTTCAAAATTAGCCAGGCATGGTGGTGCCTGCCTGTAGTCCCAGATACTTGGAAGGTGAAGTGGGAGGATTGCTTGAACCCAGAAGTTTAAGTCTGCAGTGAGCTCTGACCATGCCACTGCACTCCAGCCTGGGCAACAGATAAAGACTGGGTCTCCTAAAAAAAAAAAGTTTAAGGGATAAACTTGGAAGTATATTCTTCCTTAGAACCTCCAGATAGGAGCCTAGCCTGGCTGACACCTTGATTTCAGTCTTGTGAGACCCTAAGTAGAGAATCCAGCCATACTTACGCCAACTTCTGAGTGACAGAATTTGGAGACACTAAGGGAGTGCCACTAAGTTTGTGGTACTTGCTACACTGCAATAGAAAACTAATAGTACAACTTATCATCACCAGGTTTTGTTTAATAGATAAAGAGATTTGGGATGATCAGGAGGTGAGAAACTGCTCACCTCTGGAGGACAAAGATGAGATGACACAAGCCAGGGCATGTTTGTTCCAGAATTGCTGCCCATCTGTTGTGGATCCCAGATCCCCAAAGGTGACTGAGTATTCCCTTACAAGTGCCTTCCATACAAGACAGCCTGAGAACCAATGTGTAGCCAAGCCTGGGAGGAGAAAACACTGATATAGTTTGTATGTCTGGGTGAGGACCCAACTCTTATGTTGAAATGTAATTCCCAGTATTGGAGACAGGGCCTGGTGGGAGATGAGTGGATCATGGGGTGGATTTCTAGTGAATGGTTTAGCACCATCTGCTGGTGATGTCCTTGGCATAATGAGTGTGTTCTCACAAGATCTGACTGCGTAGAAGTGCAGCGTTCACCCAACCCTTTCTGTCTTGCTCCTGCTTTTGCCATGTGACATGCCTGCCCCCCCACTTGCCTTCTGCCATGATTGGAAGCTTCCAGAAGCCCCCCAAGAAGTAGACGTTGCTATGCTTCCTGTACAGCCTGCAGAACCACAAGCCAATTAAACCTCTTTTTTAAATAAATTACTCAGTCTCAGGTTTTTTTGTTGGTGTTTTGTTTTGGCTCTTGCTGCCCAGGCTGGAGTGCAAGGGTGCAGTCTCAGCTCACCACAACCTCTGCCTCTTGAGTTCAAGTAATTCTCCCACCTCAGCCTCCCGAGTAGCTGGGATTACAGCTGCCCACCACCACGCCCAGCTAATTTTTTTTTTTTTGTATTTTTAGTAGAGATGGGGTTTCACCATGTTAGACAGGCTGGTCTTGAACTGCTGACCTGAGGTGATCCTCTTGCCTCAGCCTCTCAAAGTGCTGGGATTACAGGCGTGAGCCACTGTGTCCAATCTCAGGTATTTCTTCATAGTAATGCAAGAACAGCCTAATACAGACACAGAAGCAAACATGTTATAGGACAGGGATACAGGCCAAAGGAGCCACTGAGGTCTGTGACAAGTCAGAGAGAGCCCTGGGTTTCTGAGGTGCCACAGGAGCTTCCCTGACTCCCAGGTGCTCTGAAGTGCTTGGCATATCACAAGAGTTATGTGACCTGAATGTCCCTGGTCTTCAGGGTACAAAATGAGGTCACACAAGCATTTATACCCATAATTTACTTGTTCAGATCCCTTCTTATTCAGTGTATTAGGGCACTGGATGAGTTGCTGGAACAGAGAGATTCAAATACCTAACAGTTCAAGCAGAATAAAAGTTTGTTTTTCTCTCAGGTAACATCCCATAGATGGATGGTGGTCCTGAGCAGGGAGGCAGCTCTGATCCACAGTGTCATTCAGGGTCCAGGTTCCTTGTACCATGCTCCTCCATCTGCCCCTGAGGTGTTCTTGTCAGAGCTTGGCACCACCACCACCAACTCCACTTCCAGACCCCAGGGAGAGGGAATGAAGAAATAGAGGCCAAGCAATTTCCTTTTAAGTAAGTGACTCATCACTTCCACTCGCATTCCATTGACAAGAGCATGGCTGCCCTAGCTGCAAGGGAGGCTGGGAAATTTCCACTGAACAGCCTGTGGAATCCTAAAAGGGACAAGTACATTTCAAGGGGGCAGAAAAGAGTCTTTCCCGCAGCACCACCCAAATTCTGCTGAAGTCTCTGGGAGGCATTTCACAGGTGTTTGAAGACCACCAGTGAGTACCACATCCCCTGTGACCAGCCCTGTCTGCTGTCAGCATTGTGGCAATTAGTAGAGACAGCACTGCCGTGGCCAGGAGTCTGTCCCCTTGGGCTCCCAGTGGTATGTGACCTTCTTAGCTTGAGAGCAGAACCAGAAGCAAGGATTTGGGTGCTGATAGTTGAATTAAGAAGTGATCCCCAGAAATAATAGTGAGAAAGCAGGGAGAGCAAAGGGAAAAAGAAAAAGCCATTAAATTGTGTGTTATTGACCTGATTATCACTGTGGACAACTAAGGCTCAATTCTACTATGAACACTGAGGAACTGTCCCTCTGATGGACAGGAGGCTGGGACATTTATCCACTGACTCCCATGTTCCGTTGCTTGAGGACTCTGCCTGGGGGCATTAGCTCTCCGACCTGCCTGAGGGCAGAAAGGTAGGAAGAGAAGGTAGGCACTGGAGGTGGGACACTGTCAGCATCCAGGAGGGCTGTCCACCAGGGCTGCTGCTGAAATCTGACAAGGGCCAAGGGGACGTGGCAAGAAGCACCAAAGCATCACACAGAAATGTAGCCAAAGTCACTGGAAATGGGAAGAATGTGCTTCTATCCCTCACACTCACAACCTGCAAAACCATGGGGCACGGGACATGTCATGCTCTTTTCTCTGAGCCTGGAAATGAGCCCTTAAAATATCTTCATTACAGTTCCTTTTCCCTCATGCAACTCATCCATGCAAACAGTGCCTGGGGATGTCCAATCTGAGCTGAAGCAGAGCCCTGCCCACCCACAAAAGTTATCCATTAATTAATATGTCTGTCTTCCGGAGATACTGTGAATCAATCAAGTAGAACTTCTTGGCCCTCAATAAATAATAGCTGCTATTATTATTATTTTTATTAGCTAGAGGGTTTATAAACAATGTCTGGTTCCCAGGAAGCAGGCTGTGTGTAAGATAAAAGCTAACATATTTTGGGTTGAGATTTCACTGTTCTTAAATGATGGAGCCAGGATTTCAACACAGGCAACACGATCCCCAGTCTGTGGCCTAACCCACTGTGGCCCACGACCTCTCCAGGGGAAATCACTGATGGCATTTATGAAATCATAATGTGATTGTGACTATAACACATGAGCCATCTCAGGAAGTGCCCAGGAAGAATGCTCAGGGGTCATAAGGGAGACCGCAGAAATTCACAGCCAAAGCAAGCTCTCCGGGGCCACCTCATTCCATCCCCCACCCTGAGCAAGGCCAGACACTCAGCACTGAAGAGACTATCTCAGCAGTTATCATCGCCGAGTCCTTCAATTGCTCCCAACAGATGGAAAGGGGTAGGAGGCAGGAATGAAGCTGGGGCCTCAGAGAACACTGAATAACGGTGCAGGAGAGTTACAGCCATGGCAGAGGCAATTTCAGCTTGGTTAGCTTTTTAGGACACTGCAAAGAAATTGCATGCAGAGGGGCAGGTGTGGAGAGCAGTGAATGGGCCTGGAAAGCTGCCATGCCACCTGCAATGTGAGAGAGCAAAAAAGGAAGCTCATTAACCATCCCTGGATCATTAACTCAGGGTCCTCAGGGGCACAGTCACTGAGTTTGGACTTTGCATTTTGTCAGTCTCTTTTCCAGGATCTCTGGGGACTCCTGTCTGGGACAGGGTTCTCAACTCAGGAAGAAGGTAGCAAAAGCAACCACCCCAGGCAGAGGAGCCTGGTAATCATTGTTTGGACAGAATGACAATGGCTGATGCTTACTGAATGCATCCTTTGCTCAGGTAGGGAAACAGCTCAGAGAGGTTAATTAATTGCACAGGGTACTCAGTTGAAATGGACAGAGCCAGAGATCCAAGGAAGTCCATCTGCATCCCGAATCCATATTCATATTCTTTCCCTTTTTTTATTTTTTAGAGACAAGGTCTCTGTCACCCAGGCTGGAGTGCAGTGGCACAATCAAAGTTCACTGCAGCTTTGAACTCTTGGGCTTATGTAATCCTCCTTCCTCAACCTCTCAAGTATCTGAGACTACAGGTGTGTGCCACTGAGCCCAGCTAATTTTTTTTATTGTTTGTAGAGACAGGGTCTCACTATGTTGCCCAGTTTGGTCTTGAACTTCTGGGTTCAAGCAATCTTCTCATTTTGGCCTCCCCCAAAGTGTTGGCATTACAGATGTGAGCTACATGCTGGCCCCCAGTTCATATTCTTAACCATTGTATCGTTGAGTCTTGCAGGATAGATGACAACAGCCCTCCATGGCCAGCAAGAGCATCCGAGAATGCATTGAACAGGTAAGCCAGTGAGAGCGTGTGGGTTATTCAAGTAGGCATCAACAGTCCCTTGTTCAGTAAATACATTCATTCATTGATATTTATTTTATTTGTTTCTGAGACAGGGTCTCACTCTGTCACTCAGGCTGGAGTGCAGTGGTGCAATCATGGCTCACTGCAGCATTGAACTCCTGAGCTCAAGCGTTCCTCCTGCCTCAGCCTCCCAAAGTGCTGGGATTACAGGTGTGAGCCACTGCGGCCAGCTCCTTGATATTTATTGAATGTCTCCTATTTATCCGGCCCTGAGGATGGTGGAGCAAAGAAGAGAAACTGAGTCTTGGCTCTTACGGAGAGGATGGGGAAGAGCATTAGCACCAGCACCAATGACCTCAAACGGTGAGAGCACTAGAAAGGAAATAAAAGAGGCAACACAGAGTGATGGTAACACAGAAGAGTGGCCTGGAAAGGCCTTCTGGAGGAAGAGACATTTGTTTCACCCCTGAATGGTGAGAACACACTTTTGGAAAGATCTGAGGAAAGCAACTACAAGACAAGGGAACAGCAAAAGCCCTGAAGCAGGAATGGACTTGGTATGTTTGAGACTTAGAAAAAAAAGAGGTCATTGAGTTGGGAGGGAGTAGGATGAGAGAATGGCAAAGAAATAGGTGGTGCCCTGCTCCCATCCCCTGCCCAGGGTGGGTTAGATGTCCCTTCTCTGTCTCTCATATTTGGCAAATTCTAATTTTCTGTGCCAAGCTTCCTGATTAGCCTCTGAGCTTCTGGTGTCCAGAAGAAGTTCAGGAACTGAAGTGGTGTTTAACTGGTGTTCACTGAACCCCACAAGGAGAATGTAGTAACTTGGCAGTTTGAGTGACAGCTCCAGTAGCCACCCAGCAACAGACAGCAAGTCAAATTTTGCTGCTGACGAGATAAGAGGGATGGCCTAACACGACTTCCTTCTGAATTGAGGAGAAAGTCTCAGAACTTTCCACCTAAGGATCAGGGGTCCTGCCTCTTGGCTGCTCCAAGGTTAGGCAGAGTTCTGTCCTCTCTGCCTGGACCCTCCTCCTCCAGGGCCATGTGGACTCACTTGCTTACCTCTTTCAGGAATTTCCTTAACTCTTACCTTCCAGGAAGCCTTCCTTGGTCTCTCCTCCCCTATCCCTGGAACTTCTATCCCCCTTCCACCTTAATTTTTCTACAGAGCACTTATCACGTCTTGCCATGCCATATATTTTCTATATTTGCTTTGTTTATTGTCTGTCCAAACAACTAGGAGCTAAGCTCCATAGAAGCAAAGATGTTTGCCTTTTTGTTAACTGTTATGCCAACCTCATTAAATATTGTTACATAAATGAAGAAAGGACTAAATGAATGATGCCAGAGCCAGAATACTTCTGAGGCAGAACCAGTATCATCATGGGATACCAGCTAAGCTGTGGCACCCCCAAAATAAGACTGTTTCTGGTTCAATAAATGTATTCAACATTTACCAATTAGCACATCCACATCTAGAAGGAAGCTATTTTGACATGTACGCTTGTGTTTTATGCTTTAGTATTGTCTTTATTCTGCATTAATATTGGCAGGTCTGGGGAACACCATAATCTTTTCAATGCTTAAAGCCTTTAAATCCAGGCTTAAATACCACAGCTTTCTGTGCTGCCAAACCTTAGCTATGAGACAGAGCCACCTAGTGAAAATTCCAGCTTCCATTGCCTATGTATTTTATAATCTTTCCTCTAAAATTTAGCATCTAAATCAGTAACTCAACCTCTCCTGTGAATATGTTTTACCAGGCTAGGATATGGTTTTGGAAAATGCAGATTCTTGGGCCCACCAAATCTGGGGATGATGGCAAGGCATCATGGTGGGACACCAGCTTAGCAATAGCACCCCCCAAATAACACTGCTTCCAATTCAATAAACCACTGTAAAGAGTCTAATAATGTTGGTATCCATCTGGACCGGCAGCCGTAGATAAGAGATCCAAGT